GGAAAGAGATACATTTTTTATTAATGATAAACAGATAACACATTGCTGATACAGAGGTAAAGATTGATAGCTGATAGATAAATAGATGATAGATAGATTAAATAGATGGGAGGAAAATAACTTCCATGAAGGTGGTATAGTGAAAAAAGGAAAAATGAAAGAGAAGAAGAAAGAGTATTAAGGAGAAAGGAAGAAGCACATAGAATAAAGTCAATTGGAGCCATGATAAATTTGGAATAATAATAAATCTTCGTGTGTTTTTTTCCACATTTTAAAAATGAGAGCTCCTTGAGAACCTGCCCAGTACCTATAACGTAGACTGTACTCAATAAACATTTGATAATTAAATAATCTAATAAAGTCTCTCTGAAGGCAAAAATAGTACTTTATTGACAGTAGAATGCATGAGATATAAAATCTAAGGAGATTTATTCATCCATTACAAAATATCTACTGAGTACTTAGTAAGTGCCTCGGGTAATTTCTGCTGTTACCCAATGGCATTTCTATTAAAGATGAGATATAAAACAGTTTTCTTAAATCATGAGATATCAGAATAGCTTGTAGTCTTATTAGGGAATTTCTTTTATTAGATAGCACCACTTTGTACTTTCTTCTTCACTTCTACTGGTTTCCTTCCATTAGTTTATTCCAGAAATTCCACAGCTTTGAAACCAGGAAGACAGTAGAGCGATATAGTTTAGCCGTATGAATTTTTTAGACAGATTTCCTAAATTTCTAATTGTGGTCCTACCACTAACTAGTTTATGAGCCTTAAAAAGTAAAATAGCCTGCCAGACTCTTACTTCCCTTATAAATAAAATGAGAATTAATAGCACCAATTGAATAGGGTTAATATACAGATTAAATTACATTATGCATGTCAAGCTTTTAAAAGAATGTCTGACACATTATAAATGCTTGCTCAATATTTATTGCTGTTAATCTACAGTAGTACTCACCTATAGTACCCAGGACTATAGCTATCACCAGTATTACCAAGCATAGGATTCCCAAAGTCACAGCAATGGAACGCCAAGGAAGAGATGCAGCACAAGGTCCTGAGGGAGACAGAGGGAACAGGGATTGGATGAAGAAACAGGATGCTTGGCCAGTGTGACTCAGTGGCTGAGCATCAACCTATGAACGGTTCGATTCCCAGTCAAGGCAAATGCCTCCGGGTGTGGGCTCAATCCCCAGTAGGGGGCATGCAGAAGGCAGGCAATAGATGATTCTCTTTCATCATTGATGTTTTTATCTCTCTCTTCCTCTCCTTGAAATCAATAGAAGCATATTTTATTATATA